TAGTAGTAGTAGTAGTAGTAGTAGTAGTAGTAGTAGTAGTAGTAGTAGTAGTAGTAGTAGTAGTATTAGTGTAGTAGTAGTAGTAGTAGTAGTAGTAGTAGTAGTAGTAGTAGTAGTAGTAGTAGTAGTAGTAGTAGTAGTAGTGGTCGTAGTAGTAGTGTAGCAGTAGTGGTAGTGGTAGTAGTAGTAGTAGTAGTAGTAGTAGTAGTAGTAGTAGTAGTAGTAGTAGATGTAGTAGTAGTAGTAGTAGTAGTAGTAGTAGTAGTAGTAGTAGTAGTAGTAGTAGTAGTAGTAGTAGTAGTAGTAGTAGTAGTAGTAGTAGTAGTAGTAGTAGTAGTAGTAGTAGTAGTAGTAGTAGTAGTAGTAGTAGTAGTAGTAGTAGTAGTAGTAGTAGTAGTAGTAGTAGTAGTAGTAGTAGTAGTAGTAGTAGTAGTCGTAGTCGTAGTCGTAGTCGTAATCGTATTTCTTTTTTAGTAGTAGCAGTAGTAGTTGTAGTAGTAGTAGTCGTCGTCGTCGTCGTCGTCGTCGTCGTCGTCGTCGTCGTCGTCGTCGTCGTCGTCGTCGTCGTAGTCGTAGTCGTAGTAATAATAGTAGGAGTAGGCGTCGTCGTCGTCGTCGTCGTCGTCGTTGTCGTTGTCGTCGTAGTTGAAGTAGTTGTATGGGAGGTTAGCCCCCCGAGCAAAAGGAGGACTCGGAGTAGGAAACCATGTATCTGTTCCTTCGCTTCTCCACCCCTTCAATCGACTCGCACCAACACGACCCCGGCTCCTTCTACCTCTCTCCCAATTGCCCACATCCCCCACCTCCTCATCCTGCCCATCCCTCATTATCCTTCTCCTCATCGTCCCCCTCTCCTCCACCTCATCCCTCCTCCGGTTGGGTCAGGGGCTTGGAGGCTGCTTCGTTTCACTGGGGAGCGGGTGTGTGTCTGGGGTGGGGACTCGTTAGAACCTTCTAGACCCCCCCCGCAGAGCACAGACATACCAAACTAGGCACCCTCTGTCACTCCACTCGCCTCCTTACATGTGCTCCTCATCCCCCCTCTTCCTTGGAGGAGCGAGGTGGTCGGCCCTTCTTCTCCCCTCCCTTCCTCCCTCCGTTCCGCCTCCTCCTTGCTCCCCATTGCCCTCCCATCCTCCTGCCTCCTCCCTCCCAAGTACTCCTCTTTCCGCCTTCCCCTGCCTTCACCATCCCCTCCCTCCCCTCCCGTCGGAGGAGGGCACCGCGGCCGCCAAAAGAGTGAGCGAGGCGCTCGCGCAGATGGAGCGCGCCAAGGTCGTGGCCATCCTGCGCGCCAAGAACGAGGCGAGGGCCGTGGAAAGGGCCAAGGAGCCGACATCGGCGGCCATCGGCGGCCCTCGGCAGCCATCGGCGGCCTTCTGCGGCCATCAGCACTCATCGGCTGCCATTGGCGGCCTTCGGCGGCCATCGGCGGCCTTCGGCGGCTATCGGCGGCCATCGGCCAGGGCCGTGGCCTCGGGAGCGCACGTTCCATTGTTTTGTATGAGAGCTCGTGGCCTCGGGAGCGCGGATCCACAGTTTTTCCTTGCGAAGGACATGGGGGCGATACATGCGGGTGAATGTGATGAGACGGGGTCCGTGTAGAAGATTACACGGACCCTACCAGACACTGGGTAGTCGAAGGCCAGACTGTCAGATTGGATTGGGCCCCAAGGGCCAATCTGGCCCGGTCAAACTGGATGATTTGGGTTATTCGCCAGACTGGATTCGCGTTGGCTCCCTCGCCAGATTGCCCCCGTTTGCCAGATTGGGCCTGCCAGATTGGCTTCGACTACCCAGAGACAGCACATTACAGTCTACCTCGCCTCAAGGTGCCACGGGTGCACGGTGGCGGATTTAGCGTATCGCGAAGTGCAGCGTCAGGTAGACTGCTCGGTCATTTATTTTCTCTCCTTAGCGTTCGGTCCGTCCGCAGGCTTGGCAAGCTTGTTGTGGTGAGCGAGAATATGTGTTTGTGTTCCGGTGCGGAGCCACTCTGGCTGAATATGCGTTGCGATGTCAGCCGTCTGGAGGCATCCCAGATCGGGCGCCCTTCACTTGATGCGGCTATAAAGAAGTGTGTAAAAACAGAACGATGGAGCGAAGCGCTGCAATTACTCCACGAAGCCTCTCAACTACGTGTGGAACTCAGCCCAGGCCACTACCTCGCGACCGTCGGCGCATGCAGAACAAGTGGGCAGTGGCAATGGGCGCTGGTGCTTCTCAGCGAAGTGGTTGACGCGAACGTGGAGGCAAACGCCGTCATGTACAACGCCAGGATCAGCGCGTGCGTGACAGGGAAGCAGTGGCAGCGGGCCCTGTCGCTACTCAGAGAGATGCGGGAGGCGAAGTTGAATCCCGACGTCGTCTCGTTTACAGTTCCAGGCCGAGTGCCTGCGATAACTTTTCGGGGTGGGGGAACCGTCCCTCGTCCCCCTCTCCCCGCCCCTCCTCCCACCCGCCTTCACATGGAATTGAATCCAATAATCTCTTTGAATTAGTCAGCTACAGCGCTGGGATCAGCGCGTGCGAGAAAGGCGGCGGGTGGCAGCGGGCGCTGCAACTGCTCGGCGAGATGCTGGAGGCGAAATTGGAGCCCAACGCCTTCATCTAGTCTGCATTGCCAGGAGTCGCGTGCGAAGCGGTAATTTGGGGTACGCTTGGGCGGCGCAGTCCAAGAAGACATCAAGTGTTCGGGCACGCGTGCGTTGAGGCCATTGGGAGGTTCACGTGCTCGTCGCTATTCAGCACTTTCTCCGCCCTCCGTTGTCCTCGCTCCAAGCTCCTCGCCCACTGCTCATCGCTCCTCTCTCCTAGCTCCTTGCTCATGTCCCCTCACTCCTCCTCGCTCCTTCCTCCTGGCCCCTGCCGCGTTCGCACCGGTAGGGCCTCTCAGGGCTTGGGGTGGCACGACGAGCCTTGAAGACGGCTCCCGGACCAGATGACCTCATGGTGGCCCCGAGCATCAAGCGGCAGTGAGCGAACGAGCAAGCAACGAAGCTCGCAACAAAGACGTCAGGCGATCAGGGCAAAAGTTGCAGGCCTCTGGGCCAGCAATTTCGCTGGCAGGATTGCAGACAGGAGTCAAAGAGACAAGCGCGCGAGCTTGCGTGACCGCCGGGAGAATTATGAGCAGGTCAGGCTGCTTGTCGTGGACGTAGTCCACGGGTCAGCCCTGGTCTGTCTGCAGTCGGACCGCCCTGGCACAGCGCGGCTTCGGCCCGGTCCCGTGCGCTCGCCACTGCAGGGCAGGTCTCGTTCCACCTCCTGCAGCACACCGGCACCCTGTCGGGTCGTTGCTGACGGCATGATCCTGGCGTGTCCTGGCTGCCGCGCCTCAGACTGCGGCTCCCGTACCCTGGACCCGTGGCACCCTGGACGACCACGGCCTGGGCCACCCGCTCCCGCTACCTGTTCGATGGCACAACTTTGCACTTCGGCTCAGCGATGCTCTCCACCCTCCCTGGTCGACGCCGCTTGGGTACAAGGCGTGTCTCCTCTCGCCGCCAACTCGGGGCTGGTGTACATGATGAGCCGTGGACGGCAACACCAACCACAGCATTTTGCTTCTGCCGGTACTTCGCCGCCGGGTTCCTGTACAAGGCGTTCCTTTGCAAGCGCGTCGTTTTCGGCACCGCCTAATCCCGAGGCTTTGCCTCCTCCTGGCCTCGCCGTGAGGCTGCGCTCCTTCTTCCCCCCTCTTTGTTAATTCAAGCTTCGCGCGGCCCGCTTAGCTTCGACCGGAAGAGGTGCGCTCTCGACCCGCGAATCAACAAAAACTGCCTGCAGTCGGACCGAGGTGTAAGATCGAGGTCGGTTCGGGGAGGGTGCCCTAGTGTTCTTCGTGCTTGTTGGATGCTCTTGTGCATTCTGAGGGAGGGCACTCTCGAATGATCCTAGGGTTTGGGGTGTTTTGGCCGGCGGAGGGTCTCATGTTCTTGAAGGATGTTCTTTTGGCCTGGGTCCGACTGTATTCTTGACGCTTCAGTGGGCCGTCCTTCCCTCCTCCTCCTTCAATTCATCGGTGACTTCGGCTTTCGGTTGCGCCCCCCATATCCCTCCTCCTCCTCTTGACCAGGATCTGTGTTCTGCGGCTTTTGGCTGCGCCACCTGTTCTCCCCCCTTTCTTCCTCTCATTCACAACGTCTCTGCGGCTTTTGGCTGCGCCCCCCCCGATCAACAGCATACACTGGCTTCGTCAGTGTGCGGCCCCGCATCGAGTGGTACAGCCTTCCGCGGTCAATGCTCGTTTCGTTCTTCTCGGCGCAGCCACAGCCCCAACCCTCGCCGGGACATTGCATCGTTGTGCCCCCGAACTGCGTGAGTCGGATACGATGTATGTGGACCGGCTACCAGCTGGTGGTTGTCAGCCTCGTCCAAACACACCAGTGGTCTCTTACGGGACGGTGCCCCGACACCCCTCAGTGACACCAGTGTTCAGCGGCTTTTGGCTGCGCCCCCCTCCTGCCTGTGGCCCGCCCTGGCCCGTCGCCGACCCGGCCACGGTTCTGTCTTGGCCCGCTGTCAGCACGTCGCCTGCGAGCGGTGTGGCCCAGCAGCTCGGTAGCCGCCAGCCACCTTCACGCCACCGGCGTCGGGGTATTCGGCTTCCGCACGGGCAGCGTGGCAGGTGCGGGTGGGTGCAGCTGTCAGCCATACACTCGGTGACACCCGGTGTTTGTCTTCGTCAAGTGAGCGGCCCTGCATTGAGTGGTTCAGCCTTCTGCAGTTCGTGGTCGCTCTCTTCAGAGCAGCCCTGGCTACCAGCCCTCGTCAGTACTTTGCATCGTTGTGCCCCCGACCTGCGTGAGTCGGATACGATGTGCACGCACTGGCTACCGGCTGGAGGTGGCTCAGCCTCGTGAGCGCACACCAGTGGTCTTTCCCTACCATTTGGCGCTCTGACGTGGACCAGCCACACTTTTGCAAGTGAGCGGCCATGCATTGAGTGGTTCAGCCTTCTGCAGTTCGTGGTCGCTCTCTTCAGAGCAGCCCCGGCTACCAGCCCTCGTCAGTACTTTGCATCGTTGTGCCCCCGAACTGCGTGAGTCGGAGACGATGTGCTCGCACTGGCTACCGGCTGGAGGTGGCTCAGCCTCGTGAGCGCACACCAGTGGTCCTTCTCTACTGGTTGGCGTTCTGTCGCGGTTCAGCCGCACCTTAGCTCCAGTGAGCCTTGATGAGTCAGGCCTCTTTCGCCGCACCATCGTTCACCCGGGGTGCTGCAGTGGGTCTGAGTTAGTCGCTCGCGCTCGCCCTTTCCCCCCTCTCTTTTCTTCCCGGCCTCGCCTCCGAATGTGGTTCGGCCGGAGCTTGGCGCCGAAAGGGCGACTTCTCCGTCCCGTTCCGCCGCCGGTCGCCGCGCCTGCGTCCCCACCTGCCGGGATGTCTGGGCTGGTCACCTGCCGACGCAGTATGCGTCTCAATGAGGGTCATTTTGTCCCTGGCGCGTGCATTCGCCACTGAGGCCAATTCACTTCGTACCGCGCCCCGGACGTTGAACCCGCTCCTTGTCCCTCGCTTTGGAGCCGCAGACCAAAAAAGTATCTTCACCAGCCCATCCAGAAACGATGCCCATGAGAGCTGACGGGGGGAGAGAGGAAGAGACACGCATACTCAAACAGCGAGGGAGGCCGGCCTGGACGGCGTGTTGGGGCCATCTCCGAGCACGCGTGGCTTTTTGGCGTTCTCCTGGGGAGGCTCCGTGGCCATCTCGAGCCGTCTTGGAGCGGTCTTGGGGCCTCTTGGAGCATCTTGGGAACCATCTTGAGCCAGCTTGGGCTATCTTGAGCCATCTTGGAGGTCATCTTGGGCTCTCTGAGGCCGCTCGGGGGCCTCCTGGGTGCTTCTCGGGGGCCTCTTGGAGGTCTCTTAGTGCCTCTTGGGGTGCTCTTGGAACCCTCTTGGGGGCGTCTTTGGAGCCCTGAAGGGCCTCTTGGGGCCATCTTGGAGGCGGTCGGTCAAAAGGGGGGGTCCTCGATGTAGCTCCCCCCTTCGGGGGCCACGATCCTCATGAGTGGTGTCAAAAAGTGACCTTCCCAGGGGCCGAAAAAGGACCCTCTGACACATCGGGCCCCTCCCCAAAAAACTCAGGAAAGGGAGGGGGAGGGTTCCCCTCCCCGAAGTGAAGAGGGGTCGTGGAAGAGGAAAGAGACCTTCGTTAGACCACCTGTCGCCTAGGGGGTGTTGATGCCAGGCGCAGCTCGTGCACGAACGGGCGCTCAAGTACCTTGAAGTTGGCCTGGCCGGTCCTGGCGCGCTCTCGGGCCCTCCCGGGGCGCCCAATACGGCCCGAGAAGGCTCCAAGAGAGCTTCAAGACGGTTCAAGCGAGGCGCTAGGCCGCCCAAGAGAGCTCCAAAACGGTCCCGGAGAGCTCCAACACAGCGCAGGAACGCCCCAAGGGGGCTTAAGATGGCCCGAGATGCTCCAAACACGCCGCCAGACGCCTCCAAGAGGATGCCTGAGAGGGTTTCAGGAACAAGCAAACTTTGATTATCCGATGGTGCTCGGGACGCCCAGGCTTGCCCAAGCAGCCCTCGAGATCGATCCAAAATAGGCCAATAGGCCTCCGCAGCCTCAAGCAGCAGCAGCAGCAGCAGCAGCAGCAGCAGCAGCAGCAGCAGCAGCAGCAGCAGCAGCAGCAGCAGCAGCAGCAGCGAACGGCGAGAACGGCAAACGCAGCAGTACACAGCACCTGCGAGCAGCAGCAGCAGCAGCAGCAGCAGCAGCAGCAGCAGCAGCAGCAGCAGCAAGCAGTATAAGACACCGGGCAGTCCATCAGCAGCAACCTGTAGCCACAAACAGCAACAACGCGCAGCAGCGGCAAGCATTACCAGCAGCACACAACAGCGGCAGCAAGTAGCGGTACGCAGTAGCACGCGCGGAATGCGAAGGTTGAGCTCCTTTTTTCATTTCAGCATTTCGGCAGCATGCCGAAATCACATGCCAGTTCGTGCCGCGTGCATACTTCGTGGACGTAGTCCACTGGTCAGCCCTAGTCTGCTACAACGCTGGGATCAGCGCGTGCGAGAAGGGAGAGCAGTGGCGGCGGGCCCTGATCCTGCTCAGCGAGATGGGGGAGACTAAGTTAGAGCCCGACGTCATTTCCCTAACAGTGCCTGACGCAGTGCGTTCCAGAAGGGTGGCATAATCCACGGCCCTGATCGGGCGGACCAGCCTCAAGAGGCCACCGAGGGCGCCGAGAAACAGGCTCCCAAGATGGCCCGGGTGCCCCAGAAGAGGGCCCCAGGAGGCCCCAAGAGATCCCGGAAGGGCCCAAGCGGCATAAGTGAGGGCCCCAAGAGCACATGACACCCCAGGAGAGGCTCAAGATGCCCTAGGATGGCCTCAGGAAGGCCACCATGGGGGCTCAACAGCAACGAGAACCCTGTGGCTTCTCGGTGCTTCCCTGGATGTCAGGGATTCTTCTCGCCAGGAGGCTTGGCCAGGCTATCCTACGGTGCAAGAGGCCCCCCCCGATCAGGGCCCCCGAAGCCAGGACTCTGCAAACCAGGAGTTCGAAAATTCTCAGCTGGAGTCAGAGGCGATCGCCCTGGAGACAGGTATCTCACTGTGTATGCGCATGCTGTTTTCCTCTTCGAGCTGTCAGCAAGCCACTTGCTTCAGACGCACTGTACGTGTTGCCTGGGATGGACGCGGGATCGTTATGGCGAAACCGTTCCTGAAGAAAGAGGGAACGACGAACGGAGACTGTTGCGTCCCGCGGCTGCAGCTTTCGCGGGCGCGCACCTGTCCTGGTTCATCGCAGCGCCGCCGCTCACGCACGGGGCCCAGACCCGACGTGGTCCACGAGGGCTCCAGGAGGCTTCCAGGAGGGCCACCCATGGAGGGCTGGGACCCAGGGGACTTCCAGGCCCTCCAGCGAGGGCCTGAAGAAGGCCCCCACAGCGCAGCCGAACACCGCGCAGCCCAAAGCGCAGCCCCACCGCGCAGCCCCACCCCGCGACCCATAGCGCAGCCCCAGCCCGGAGACCCCGAAAAGTGCGAGCGCTAGCTGTTTCGACGGTCCCGGGGCCCAGCGGGGGCCACCGGAGGCAGAAGATCGCCCACCCCCCCCCGTCGTGACTTCTCCAAGGCGCGAGCACGGCTGGGAGCCCACCGCGCACCCCACCGCGCAACCCATCGCTCAGGCCACCGCGCAGCCCGGCCGCCGCCGCACCCCGGACCACCAGGCTGGTGGCTTGCCGTGCGGCCCACCGCGCCACGGCCAGAGCTTGGCCCACCGGGCCAGCTCCCTGGAGCAGAGCCCCTTGTCGTGCAGCCACTGTTATGAGATTCGTGCTGTCGTGGAGCTCGATGTTCGAGGTTTCTGTTGGCGTTTGCGATCGTTCTCGGAGGTTTTTTAGCCTCGGGGTGTTTTTCAGCATCTGCGCCTCGTCGAGGGCGTTTCCGGAGGTGCCCGGATCGTACTGGACGGCTGCCAGAGACCCGAGCTATGACCAGAAAATCACTTGGACTGCGGCGGAGAAAAGTGCTCTTCGAGCAGAACGATATTCGCCACCTGCCCAGGCACGGATCGGTAAGCAACCGTGCACGCAGTCCACGGGTCACCCCTGGTCAGTTACAACGCTGGAATTAGCGCGTGCGCAAAGGGCGAGCAGTGGCAACGGGCCCTGGCGCTGCTCAGCGAGATGCGGGATGCGAAGTTGGAGCCCACTGGTATCTCTACTACATTGCAGGGCCCAGTGCGTGCCAGAAGGGCGCAGGCCCCAATGCACCAAAACCGCCCCGGGCTGGCCCCGGGCCGCCCCGGGCCGCCCAGGCAGGCCTCAGGACATGTCGAGAGGGCTCCAGATTCCCCCAAGACGGCCCCGGAGAGCCCCGGCACGCTTAAAGATGGGCCCAAGACGCCCGAGATTCGCCCCAGGCGGCCCAAGAGGCGTCCAAGACGCCCGAAGAGGCCTCCCAAGAGGCCTCCCAAGAGGGCCCCGAGCGACAGAAATCGTCGATTTCTACTGTGTTTTTCGATGTTTTCGGCCTCCTCGCCTCGTCGGCTTCCCGACGCTCCAAGACGGCCCAAGAAGCCCCCCCGACCGCTCCAAGACGGCCGAAGAGGACCCCAAGAGAGCCCCAAGACGGGCCAGGAGGGCCCCCAGACGGTCCCAAGACGCCCCAGGACGGCCCCAGGACGGCCCAGGAGGCGCCCAAGACGGCCCAAGAGGCACCCAAGACGACCCCAGGAGCGGCCCAAGACGGCCCACGACAGCCCAAGAGGCGCCGAGGCGGGTCTCAGACGGCCCCAAGACGGCCCAAGAGGCACCCAAGACGGCCCGAGAGGGCCCTAAGAGCCCCCCCGGGAGGCCCAAACGAAGGCCGAAGAGGCTCCGAAACGGCCCCCACGAAGCCTTCAGTGCCTTCAGAATTCCCTCCAGGAGCGGGGGAGCGGACGAGAGGCGACAGGCATATCGCAGGCAAAAACGCCCCAAGAGATCCCCAAACGGCCCCCACGAAGCCCTAAGTGGCTTCAGAATTGCTTCCAGGAGGGAGGGAGCGGACGAGAGGCCACCGGCATATCGAAGGCACAAAAGAACAATGTTGGACGCTCCGAGGGCCTTCGATGTTTCTCTGTTGGGGAGAGTCGTCGTAGGATCGACGATTGCCGACCGAGGGCATGGAGAATCCAGCGAAAGAGGAGAAGAAGGTGGAAGAGGAGGAGGAGGAGGAGGAGGAGGAGGCGGAGGAGGAGGAGGAGGAGGAGGAGGAAGGGGAGGAAGCAGCAGGACCTCCGAGCAGCAGCAGCAGCAGCAGCAGCAGCAGCAGCAGCAGCAGCAGCAGCAGCAGCAGCTGAGGAACACAGGAGAGCAGGAGGTCCTGGAGGGTGTGGAGAGCGCCTTCAACTGGCCGCGTCGAGCTGATGTCGTGGACGGAGTCCACAGGTCTGCCCTAGTCAGCTACAACGCTGGGATCAGCGCATGCGAGAAAGGTGAGCAGTGGCAACGGGCGTTGTCGCTGCTGGGTGATATGCTGGAGGCGAAGTTGGACCCCAATGTCATCAGCTACAACGCTGGGATCAGCGCGTGTGCGAGAGGCGAGCAGTGGCAGCGGGCGCTGTCGCTGATAGGTGAAATGCGGGAGGCGGAGCTTGGGTCCGACGTCATCTCTTCTAGAAAGTAGCATGCGAGCAAGTCGCACGGTGGCAACTGGCCCAACCACCCATGGAGACTCCCAGGACGACCCAACAGCGCCCCAAGACGGCCCCGTTATTGCCTCGAAGTGACTCCAGGTTCCCACGAAGACAGCACCAAGATGGCCTGCGGCATCCTGCGAGGCGCACGAGAAGCCCCAACGGAGGCCTGAGGCAGGAAATGGCCCAGGCAGCAAGCAACATTGAGCAATTCATTTGCCCTTTTAACTGATTGAAGCTACCCTAAACCCGAAACCCGAAACCCTAAACCCTAAATTCCTAATCCTATAATTATTAAATCCTACTTACCATAAAACCAGTCACCATGCAACCCCGCTCCATCTACTTCCAAAAATCGCATTTCCTGAGCATGCGTGCAGAATCTCATATTTTTTACAGCACAAAGTGCCCAGTCCCCGTCGCGACCCCCCTCCATCTATTGCAAAAAATAGCATTTCCTGCGCATGCGTGCAGAATCTCCTTTATTTTACACTACAAAGTGCCCAGCCCCCGTTGCAACCAATTATGTAAACCCCCTCCATCTACTGCAAAAGTAGTATTTCCTGCGCATGCGTGCAGAATCTTTTGTATCTTACAATACAAAGTGCCTAGTCCCCGTTGCGACCCCGCTCCATCTACTGCACAAAATAGCATTTGCTGAGCATGCGTGCAGAATCTCATGTATTTTACAATACAGAATGCGACCCCCTTATGCACACCGGCTCCATCTCCTGGACAAACAAGCGCTTCCTGCGCATGCGTGCAGAATCTGTAGTCCGTTCGAGCACTCGCGTGCCAACTGGATCGCACATCCGTCGTCACCGTCGTCGTCGTCGTCGTCGTCGACGCTGTACTCGCTCTGGTTCTACCGAGGGGAGAGATGATCTTTATGGTGGGGTGGCTTGCGGGTGGGACTGACGGCCACCGCAGGTGGGTTCGCGGTCCAGGTGTCCTCGTGGCCACGCCTAGTAGACCCTAAAACCTAAACCCTAAACCCTAAAACCGAAAACCTAAACCCTAATTTTTGTCCCAATGCTGCTTTAGGAGGGTCTTCGAGCGCCCTCGGAGCTTCCCTGACGACGCCAAGAGAGCCCCACGATGGCTCCAGAGTGCTCCCGCGAAGCCTCCAATGCAGCCCGAGCTGGCCCCAAAAGTGCCCCCAGGAAAGGGCCAACGGGCTTCGGGAGGGTATCACGAGCTTAGGGGAGGCCCTCGGTGGCCGAAGACGCACCCCAGACGCCACGACGGCCCAAGAATGCCCTTGGAGGGCCTCGATGCGCCGCAAGATTGCCGCGGAGGGCCTCAAAGGGCACCTCGGGAGACTCCAAGGAGTTCCCAGAAGATGCCCCAGGCACCCAATATAGCAGCATCACCCGGCATAGCAGGATGCCAGTGTTCCAGCGCGGATCCCGCAAGATCCAATCATTTTGGCATTCAGGGTGGAAATTTTGGGTCATGGAGACATGGAGTATTGAGAATCGAATGCCCCTGCCACGCTCGCTGGACCTGGGAGGCTTGTACTGGTTAGAATCCCACGGCCCTGCCACACTTTGCGGACGTGGGAGGGCTGGACCGGGGACAACTCCCTTGCCCTTCCATGCACTGTGGCCGCCAGAGGGCTACGGGACACAGGGGACGTGCCTGGCTACCTGTCCCGGAGAGCGCGCCTGGGGCCGTGCGCGTGGCCGTGCCAGAGTACATCCCCAGGGGACGTGTGTCTGGGGTGTCTGATGGCGTTTCTGGGGGCGTGTCTGGTGACATGTCCTGGGGCGGGTTTCGGGGCGCGTTCGTGGACGTGCCTGGGGCCGTGTCAGCGGACGTTCCTGGGGACTTGTTTGGGGATGAGATTGGGGGGCGCGTGAGCCCTCAACACGCGTTCGAAGCTGCTCCCATAGTTTCAGCTACCATATGGCCCCCAAACCCACCAAAGCGTCTTAGAGGCTACTACATTAAAGTACCTTCTGGCTTCAAGTATTGTTGGCTTCCCCTTGCTTGCTGGGCCCAGATGTGCCTGTTCTGGTCCAAGAAGGTCCCAGGATGGTTCCCAGACCGCCCCAACACAGCCTGGCCGGCGAGGGGCCAGGACGGCCGCAGGAAGGCCCACGAGAAGCCCAGTGCGACACCGAGACGCTCTCTTCGCGCGCCATGCCTTCTGCCCCCTCCCCTCCACCTGGGCATTAGGTCCGTCTTCTTGCCGTGGATGTTATCAACAGGTTCACAGGCGGCTGGGATCAGCGCGAGCGAGTCGGGTTCCCAGTGGCAGGCCTAGGCGGCCCCAGCATAGGTCCCAGACGGCCCAGCGCAGCCCCCTTTGGGCCCCAGATGGCCCAAGGGAGCTTCCAGGAGGCGACCAAGACGGCCCAAGAGGCCCCACGAGAGCCCAAGACGTCACCCCACATTTCCCAAGATAGACATGGCTCGCTTGCCAGGAGTCCCCCTTTGCGGCTCCGAGACTGCCAACGACCTCCCCGAGATGGCCCCGAACAATTTCCAGACAGCGCCACCCCCTATGGTCCGCGAGAGGCGATGGGCTCTAATGTTGCCGCGAGAGGCCCCCACAGAGGGCCTCAAGATAGCCTCGGAAGGCCGCAAGACGGCCCGCAGGGAGCGCCAAGACAGGACAATACACAATTCAGCGATCGCAGCAAGTAAGCAGCAGAGCCAGCAGCAGCAGCAGCAGCAGCAGCAGCAGCAGCAGTAGCAGAACTAGTAGAAGCAGCTAGGAGAAAGGCGAGCATCATCAATCAGCAACAGGCAACAGAACCAGCAAGCGGCGGCAATCGGCAGTAGCAGGAGCCAGCAGCCGCAAGCACTAGCCAGCAGCATTGGCAAGCATCATCAGCACGTAGCAGTAGTCATCAACCAGCGGAAAGGAGCAGCAAGTAGCAGCAAGTACGCAGCGGCAGGCAGCAGCGAGTAGCAGCAAGCAGCATTGAACAGCAGCAGCAGCACAGGAAGTGGAGCAGTTGCAGGAGGTGGAAGAATATCGTTCTGAGACTTGCCTCGCGGGCCCTCCTCCGTCTCACAACCAGCGCATCAGCCGCAGTCTCACCCTTGCGTGCCAGAAACCAGCCGAATCGCCATCCTGATGTGTCAAAACCAGATTGACGTGTTTCGGGTGAGCCATTTGAGGCAAGCGGGTCGCCTGTGGCACGCACCCGCGGGTGCGCACAAATCTCTCCTACATGGCCAGTGGAAGCGCGTACGAGAGTCTTTCCGGGCCTCACGTGCACAAAATCGCCCCTTTACGGCGCCACCACAGGGCCGAATCGCTTAGGCCGGTCCCAGATGCGCTCCATAGGGGTTCCCAGACCGTCCAAGAGCGCTCCAAGACGGCCCCAGTGGGTCCCGAGACGGCCCACGAGGGCCCGAAGCCTTCTGGGGGGGGCTCTACGACGATCCAAGATGCCGCAAAGACGCCCCAAGAGGGCCCCGAGCGCACGCCAAAGAGGCACAAATCGTCAAATTCAGATTGGAAAACGTATCTTTTCAGCATGCCCGCCTTGTGTGCTCCTCAGCAGCCCGGGACACGCCAAGAGGCCTCCCAAATCGCCCCAAGAAGACGCCAGCGGCCCCTCGGAGGGCTCCAAGACGGCACGCCAGAGAGCCCTGAAACGGCCTCACAGAACCCCAAGACGGCCCCAAGAGAGCTCCGAGGGGGCCCCAAGAGGCTTCCAAGACGGCCTCGGGCAGCTTCAAGAGAGCTCCAGGACGGTCAGAGGCCTCCTGGACGCCCCGTGTGGGCCCAACATGGTCCCAAAACGTCCCCAAACGCTCCCAGAGCAGCCCAAACGAGCTTCAGAATGGTTCCAATACGACCCCCACAAGGACTACCAAGCAGGCCCAGGTACGCCCTTTAAGAGAGCGATCGGTGAAGTACAAAGCTCTTCTCACCAAGGCTCCCACGAGCGAGACGCAGCGTAGAGAGCTCTCCCAGGCACAGCTCCCAAGAGCGAGCGCTGACGTCGGGACACCCTTCCGACCTCTCACACAGGAGCACGCACGCACAGCACGCAAGCACAATCTATTTCCTGGGCTGTCCCCCGGAAGAGGCTCGGGGGGACAGCCCGGGAACGGCCCCAGAGGCGCCCAACAAAAACCTCAAGAGAAAAGGCCCCCAGGAGGCCGCAAGACGGCCCAAGAGGGCCCCAAGAGGCCCTCAGGAGGCCGCAAGACAGCCAACGAGGCCCCAAGTGGTTCCAGGAGCTCGAAAAGAAACCCCGAGATGTCCACTAACCATTCCCAATGAGACGGCAGCGCCCGCCGTCAGGCTTCGAAGAGGCAACCGGAAAAAAGTCACCAGAGCCCTCTGGGTGACTTTTTTCAAGGCCCCAGGTGCTTTCAAAATTGACAAGCGGCGAGACGTACACCGCAGACCCACCATAGCCGTCTGTGACGCTCCGAAGGCTGTCTAGGCGGAGGTAGAGCGGAAGGCGGACGAAGAGAAGAAAGCGGTCCAAGAGGGCCTCCGAGACGGCCCGAGACCGCTCGAAGACGCTCCAGACGAGCCGCGGCAAACGAATTCATTGATTCTTCTATGATTTCTGGGAGATTTCCACCTTCTCGCCATTTCGAGCGAAGACAGGCCCAAGACGGCCTTTTCGAGCCAAGACTGGCCCAAGATGACGTGGACGAAGTCCACGGGTTCGCCCTAGTCAGCTACAACGCTGGGATCAGCGCGTGCGAGAAAGGCGAACAATGGCAGAGGGCGCTGGCGCTGCTCAGCGATATGTGGGGGGCGAAGTTGGAGCCCGACGTCATCAGCTACGGCGCTGGGATCAGCGCCTGCGAGAAAGGGGCGCAGTGGCAATCTGCGCTGGCGCTGTTCGTCGAGATGCGGGAGGCAAAGCTGGAGCCCAACGTCATCTGATCTACGTTGCCAGGAGTCGCGCGCTTGGCAGAGGTGAACAGGCCGGCCCCCTAGAGCCCTCCCCGACAGCACTTTAGACGGGAGGCCGATCGGGATGCC